GCGGAGGCTTAAGGGTGAGGAATAAATAGCCCTGTTCCTCCCACCCAGGAGCAGGGCGGAAAGTTATCCCCTGGGATTAGTTTTCACTTTGAGGTCCTGGAGCAGCCGGGGGACAGGGATGGGGACAAGGATGTGTGGGAAGAGGCATGGGCATGGCCAGAGCATCGTGTTTGGGGTTGGGAGGGGAGCAGAGTTCCTCGCCTCAAGCCCCCAGCACCACATGCTTTGCTGCTTCTCTCAACCAGCGTAGGTGAAGGTGTCACTCCCCCGTTCCCATCCTTGTCCCCTCCATTTTGCCACGGAGAAAAAAAGAGAATAAAGGATTGTAAGGACAGGTTAACCCACAGCTTTTTGCTTGGGAAAACACAGGCAGGGGCAGGAATGACTTGAAATCGCTGCTCTACCTGAAGGCAGAAGCATGCATGACCTAGATCCCCACCAAAGGAGTCTGTGATTTTTTGGGGGGTTCCAACACATGCAAATTCCTCTGCAGTTCAAACAGGTTTCTGAGCTATCTCACCTATGCAAAGCCCAAGTCACGAGGTCTCAGCAGATCTGGCTAAACATCTTCAGTTTGCATTGAAGAAAAGCAGCCAGCACAGATGGGTGACAGCGTTAATGACTTCATTAGGTCTCATTCTCATTTACAAAAGCAAACGGATTGCAAATGATGCGCAGGTTTAAAGGGTGCAACCACACTACTGCCTGGGCTGCCAGCCCTGCCAGGACCTGCTGGGCATTGCTGTGGGCCAGCTCATCACCCAAAAACCTTCCAGCAAAATCTTCTCCCCCTTTTTTTTTTCCCAGACTGGGTTTCTGAAAATAAAAGAAACAAAAAAAAAAAAAATGATGACTCCATCTGTGCTCACGGGACCACCCTGCACACAGACCTTGCAGGGCCAGGTCCCACATGGAAATCCCACACGCTGGCACCAACACTGCCTGTACCCACCCCGTCCTGCCCAGTCCTTACCAGCTGGAACTGGAGAGCGAGCCGAGACACTTTGACAGCCTGCATAAATACTTCTCTTATCCATAAGCTTTGGCAAACACTTTAAATGACCATTGGTACAAATTAACTTGACGTTTGGCCAGCTGTTATCCCATTTACGGCAATTCAGCTGAGCATGAGATAAACCCTCCTAGGCTCGCTTTTCCAGGCAAAACCCTTGAGATATCTCCAGCCGCTGTCGCTCCTGGGGAGAGATCTCGATAACACTGAAGAAGACATCAGGGCAAACTTCAAAACAAGCCGAAACTGCCCCTGGTGGGTCTGCCGCACACCACCTCCACCTTCCTGCCTTTGCACGGGCAGAAATCCCCTCGCTGTCACGGTCCCCCTCGCCTCCAGCCCTCTGAAGCAGCCTCCGGCAGCCCCAGCCCCACAAGCTCCCCAGATCCCCAGGATTCCTCTGGTTAGGGAGAAAGGGATGACTTGTTGCAACCATGAATCCCACCCCTACAATGCCATGGAAAGCCCCTGCTTTGCTCAAAAGCAGCTAGACAGAAAAGTTTCTGGCTGTTAAACTGCTGCCCTGCAAAGGGAGCAAGTTATCAGTGTATTGGGGCAGAGGAAGATGAAGCAGGGCTGAGATGGGAGATCTCTCCAGCCAGGGACACATCCCATTCAGTCCACACAAGAAAGACTGGAGAAACTGAGAAATTGCTAAAATCAAGCTAAAATAAGAGACCATTGGAG